TGGAGGCCGTAACCGACCAATAAAAATATGGGTCCCGGTTCTACGTACCTGGCCTGTCCCCGGGCCAGTTCTGGAGACTTTTTTTAAATAAATTTATTAATAATATAAATAAAAAATATTACATTGTGTCTGGTAATATTTATCTACCCCACTATCTTTATCTCCATTATCCTTTTTGATCTGTTTCATTGGGTTTGATTCGCATACAACGTTCGGTAATATTTAGATGGTCATATATTGTAATACATATACTTTCTTTAATCATATTTTAATTGAATATTGTCTTTATTCTGTTACATATAACTATGATCGACTATTAAGAATATTTATTTAAACTAACTTTAGACCCATATTAGACTTAAAATAGATCAAATCAGACGAGACTAGACTTCGATAATTATATTATATTATATTGATTTAGACAAATTAGAAAATCGGTCTAATTAAAAACATTCTTATTGACATTATACATGGATTAAATTCCACATAAAATGTTTGATTAGATGTATATGTATTTAGTAAACTCGTATACCGGTGGGCGTAGCTCAACTGGTAGCAAGGGAGTGCCACAAGGGTTAGGTCTCGGGTTCGAATCCCGGCAACTGCGATGAGAGGTTACTATGCTGAAAAATGCATAGGGTCTCTGCAAGTACTGGGGACAGAGCCCCACTCTCTATCTGTCAGATTGTGATTATAGTCCAATTTACATCCTCCCATCGTGCCGTCCGGTCGGTGGTGGGGGGCCCTCAGGGATGGGGTGTCATCTTTTTTTTTTTTTTTTTTTAGTAAACTCGTATTGGATAATGAATGAAATTTCCAATTGATTAAAAGTATGACTGTGCGTGTGAACTCGTTTTATATTAGCCTATTAGGCGGAGTTTTAACTTGCATCCCTTTTCATTTTCGTTAAAACTAAATAAGGTTAAAATAGTCTTAGTAGGGTTACAGTAAAACTAACGGTGCGTCAAGTGAGCTTAAGTTGAATAAAGGACTGAAGTGAGCTTAAGTTGATTTGAATGGGCCGAACCAGAACATTAAAAAAAGTAAACGTTTCAACTCAGCCGACAGAACTGATAAAAAGGATTCCGTACCATTTATATTAATCTTATACTCCGTATTAGTATTTCTTTATATTTCACCATTTCTTGAACATATGTTCCTCTTTCTAGCTTAAATTCTACAGTTTACCCGTGTCCAATTTTCTAAAAAAGTAATGCTTGAGTTGTACTAGTGCTACGGTGCTACTAAAATTTTAGAGCCCGTTTGGTAGCGCGAAAATCGGCTGTTTTAACTGATTCTGCTGAAATTTATGAAGTTCTGGCTGAACGTAAATTACATGGTACAGCCGGCTGTACCGTGCGCACGGTACAGCCGGCCCTTTTTGGCTCTGGGCTTCTTCCTCGATCTTGCTCTGACCTTTGATCGATCTCGCTCAGCCTTCTTCCTCGATCGATCTCGCTCAGTCTTCTTCCTCGACTTTGCACCTAGCTTCGCACCAGTCTTAGATGTCGTCTGGTTCTTCCATCTGCTTCGCACCACTTGTCTCTTTCTCTCCTAGGTAGTTGCCTCTCACACCTGATCTCCTAGAATGGGCACAACAGATTTCCTCTGTCTTTCTTTTCACTCTTTTCTTTTTTCTCTTTTTCTTATTCAATTTTGGTGATTGAGATTGAAATTGTGATTTTGGAAGACAAAGGGATCCTACTGCAGAAAAAGGAAGTCCCTACTACTATTGATCTTAAATGAGTTTTATAAAAAACTCAAATGAGTATACACATTAAAAAATGAACATACACAACTGAATATTAGACACATTAAAAATGAGTTTTATATTAAACTCAGATGAGTATACGCCTCAAAGAAATGAACATACACAACTAAATATTAAACACATTAAAAATGAGTTTTATGTTAAACTTAAATGAGTATAACGCCAAAATCAATGAGCATACACAAAATGAGATTTTGAATTTTTTGATACTCATTTTGTAAATTATGTATGTTCATTTGGTACAACTTTATGCTCATTTTAAAATGATGCACATATCAAATATAACGCCCAAAATTAATGAGCATACACAAATGAGCTTTTAAATTTTTCGATACTCATTTTGTAAATTATGTATGCTCATTTGGTATTCCTTTATGCTCATTTTAAAATGATGCATATATTAAATATAACGCCCAAAATCAATGAGCATACACAAATGAAGTTTTGATTTTTTTGATACTCATTTTGTAAATTAGGTATGCTCATTTGGTACTGGTTTATGCTCATTTGAAAATGATGCACATATCAAACATATCGTACTACAATAGATTGACATATTGAAATTAATTACAAACACTATTTAAGAATTTTTTAAAAACGAAAATTAATAAAAAGAAACTGAATTAGAAGGTATGAAGCAGAGACCACGGGTGCTCACAGTTAGGCTCTTAATACTCAGAAGAACAGACTCGATGCTCAATAAAATTACATCAATGCTCATTTACGACAAATCGTGAACTTCATCAAAATTACAAAAATGCCACCGGCTGTACGGTGCCCAGCCGTACAGCCGGCTGTATGGTATACGCTTCCTTGGCTGAAGTGGCTGCATTGGCTGATTCTGCTGATTTAAGAAAAAATCATTTTTAAAATATATGTTATTAATAAAATAAAGAAAAAATTATATGTAAAAATAGTTAAAATGGTCATCTATAGTAACTTCAGCCAATACAGCCAGAAAAATAACCCCAACCTTACTTTTTCTGCTTATTACCCAATTCAGCGCGCGGAAGCAAAAATTATGTGTTTGGTGAAAAAGTTGGCTGATAGCCTGATAAGCCGAAAAACAGTGTTGCCAAACGGCCTCTTATATTACTAATTATATAATTAGTGGAGAATTAATTAATAAGTAGTGTATAAATAAACTTCTATGCTAGGCTTAGTCGAGGTTAATAGGCTGGGTCGGGATGGTTCACGATAGTCCGGGCCAATGGTCGGGTTGGGCTTCAAATACTCTACCTATGTCCATCTCTTCAAACAGTGGGCCGACCTAGGTTGTGACCTCTATATGGCCGAGCTCTTAAGCAAATGGAATAAGATGGGAAGGCCTCCACAAACCCATGAGCCCACGAGCTAAATGATGATCCCTATAGAATTGTTAAAGTGATTGTCGTACACCGGATCTGTTTACGGGAGCACTTTTTGATTTGTAAAATGTTTAGTGTACATTAATTGTACACAAAACTTCCTTAGTTGCTTGTCTACACAGACAATTCGTTTAAACTAGTAATACTTGTCAAATTATTTGGGCACACGGAGAATGTACACATTTTTAGCCATCACTACGGCAGTACGGCACGCCATACCACCCACTGCCTCTGCGCACGCCACTGGCACGCCGTTCAACAGCAGGTCGTCAGCGGCACACACATCCATATCCATACCCTATATAAAAGTCATCGCCAAAGCTTTTATCACTGAAATGCAATCATAGGTCACCTTATTGGCTTATTCCATCGGTTAATTAGAGGTGCCCATACATTCATATCACTCTTGACAATTAAACTAAACTAGTTCACTCAAAATCGTTAAGATCAATTGATTCATTCATCAATGAATTAACGACCCAATTTTATCTCCGTGCATTTTAAAGAGGTATAGGCCGGTGGTCGTTCCCTTGGCTCTGGGCATTTACGATCAATCGGGTCTCATTGGACTTTACCAACTTTGAATGAAATGAGAAATAAGAAAAGTAAAAATTGTCTAATTGGAATGTGTACACAGAAGAGGCAAATACGTAAAATTATAGATTAGTTACTTTAATGGAAATATTACAAAGCTTTTAGGACAACTAGAAAAAAAAGTTGAAAAAGTTCAATGAAATTGAAATGATATATGATGGAGTAATTTTTTTTTTTGTAATCTAACAAATTCAGCAAACTCATATTTCAACTAGAATTTCACCAAATTCGATATATTCAACATTTCAACCTGTTCAACAAAATTATTAAATGGAGCGACTTCTTTAAACAAAAATAGTGCCTACATGATATGAGAGACAGCTAATTAAAAAAAATAAAAAAAAATTCTCTCTTTATTTGAACGATCTAATATGTTTTTGGTAAGTTTTTTCCACAAAATTAAGTATAATGTCTAGATATAAACATCGTAGTTGACATTATTGATGAAACTTAGAGCATCTCCAATGGTAAAATGTGCACGGTGCACACGTGGCATGAGAAATAGTCACATAAATATTAGTAAATAAATCCTTTCTCTCCTTATTTGAATGATTTTATACTGTTTTGGTAAGTTTTTCTCTACAATGTCAAGGAGACCGTCTAGATGTTGACATTGTTGTTGACATTGCAGAGAAAAACTTACCAAAATTGTATAAAATCATTCAAATAAGGAGAGAGATCATTTATTTGCTAATATTTATGTGGCTATCACTCATGCCACATGTGCACCGTGTACATTATAACATTGGAGATGCTCTTACCAATAACACATGAAAATTTAAAGAAATGTCATAATCCGAGAAAGACAATTTCGGCCAGCCCATACGCCCATATTAGAAGATTTAAAATTTGCATCATTGCATGATTTCGTTTCGAATCATTGTTTTTCGGCAAATACTTAATTTTTGCTTTCACGCGTTGAATTGTGTAATAAGCAGAAAAAGTAAAGTTGAAGTTACTTTTCTTGCTGTATTGGCTAAAGTTAGCGTAGATGACCATTTTTGTTATTTTTACATATAATATTTTCTTTATTTTACTAATAAAAATATTTTAAAATATTTTTTTCTTAAATTAGAAGAATTAGTCAATTGCAGCCACTTAACACTTTGAATAAATTTTAGGAGAATCAGTCAAATCAACAGATTTTTGTGCCCGGTTGTTATTTTTTTTTTCCTTTAAATTAGCATCATTCAAAGTTGGCTGTTTCAGGAATTCAGGCGGATTTTTTTTGTTCTCTTTTCACTTCAAGCGCGCGAGTTGGAGAAGTATAAAAAATGCATACAGTTTCTTCGCAGTTTCAGTTGGCGCAAAATACACCAGTTTCCATTTCTGTTTCACTTCGATCAGTACTATACCTAGAGACCAACTTCTTGTACGTAGTAGTTCTTTATGCATTTAGCTCAACTCAGGAAGGAGCCAGCGACGGTCTAGGCGTTTCTGACAGTTTTTGAAAGACCTTGCTGAAAATCAATAGGAAAACAAAAAAAATACAGAGTTGCTGTTAAGTTTGAATATATTTAGCTTCTCCAACAAATTCTCGAGTGTTCTGCACCGCCGTTTGTAGCATCTGTGCTTTAGGGAAGTGCTTGAAAATTTTGAATTCGAGTTGTCGGCTTTGTTGTGCGTGAAGTGTGTTTCTGCAGAAAAGTAGTGAAGTTCGTCGTTTTTCTAAGCGGAGTGATGGATCAGAAGCAACTATTGATGTCAGCTTTGGGCGTCGGAGTTGGTGTTGGTATTGGGCTGGCTTCCCGTCAGACGGTCGTAAGCAAATGGACTGGTTCTGCTTCGAATTCCGTTACGATGGATATTATGGAGCAAGAGATGCTCAATACCGTTGTTGATGGCAAAGATAGCAAAGTAACCTTCGATGAATTTCCTTATTACTTGAGGTAATTAATTAATTAATTAATACTCAGAGGCATCTTTTTGCTCTTTCTTATGCTTTTCATCTGATCTTCAGTGTGTATTTTCCCTAACCTGTACTGTGGTTGTAAAATATCCAAAATAGATTTGTAGTTTTAATCCTTAACTGAGACTAAAATTTTCTGGTATGGTATATGGACTTGTGTGTTTAGTTTAGTGTGGTCTGGTTTGGGACTGAAATAGAAAACTTAAATAGACCTAACTAGATAAGATCAGACTTAGACATATCAGCTTGAAATTATTAGTCCAAAGTGAAAATATACTAACTCAAAATCTTAATTCTTGATTTCTTGTATGTTGATCCTTTAATATATATAGTCATTGCCTTAAATAGAAGTAGAAGTTAAATATTTTTTTCAAAATAGGATCACTTCTATTTAGTCAAATCACCTTATTTTTATTTTTACTCGTATAGAAATCTATTTTTAGTCGTATATATTTAGTTGAGGTGGAACAAACTTATTAACAGCTATGAGAGTTGAATGCTGATATCTTTTCATTTATTGTGGTGTGATAAAAGTGAACAGACTCGGGTCTTGTTAACAAGTGCAGCCTTTGTTCATTTGAGAAGTAATGACTTTGCTAAGCATACACGAAACCTCTCCCCTGCAAGTCGAACAATCTTGCTCTCCGGGCCTGCTGGTTTGTTATATGTTGATTGAGTTGTTTTTATTTATACTATCTGTTCTTCATTTGATGTTGAGTGGTTTAAACTGTTCTGTTCTTTTTTTCCATTAGAGTTGTACCAGCAAATGCTTGTGAGGGCATTGGCACATTACTTTGGAGCCAAATTGTTATTGCTGGATGCGACAGATTTCTCGCTGAAGGTAAGTTTTGTCTTGGCCATGAAACACAATCTTGCTTACTACGGGTGTGGTAAACTCTGGTGGTTTTGTTTGTATTCTTCAGATTCAGAACAAATATGGACATTCTACAAACAAATCTGTAAGTTTCTGAAGCACTCATATCCTCATACATAGTATTATGTATCCAATCAATGGATAGAAGAACGTTTATAGTTGATACCATGGGAAATTTGGATATTCTAATTTGTTATTAATGTTCTTTCCTGTAGTCTTTTAAGAGGTCTATATCAGAGACAACATTGAACCGAATGTCAGAATTTTTCGGATCTTTCTCCATCCTCCAGCCAAAGGAGGAGAAGAAAGGTACTTGATCTTATTTTCTTAGATTCTTTAACTTCTGAAATGTTAATTACCATCTACATTTTACTTGATATTTTCATTTTTTTGTTTTCTAAACCATAAAATGTTCTCCAAGATAAGATCCAGCATTGTGCCATTTGGTATCATTATGCACTACCACCTTATACTAACCCCATCCCATAAAAGGATTCATGTTTGAGATATTACCCGAAATGGGACTAAATAGGTTTGAAAATTCCAAACATGGGACTGTCATGTTTTTATTCTCAAAATAGGACTAATTACTGTCATGTTTTGGCAGTACCAGACTTAAAATATGACAGTATTTTCCAAACTTGACAGTAATTACTCCTATGTTGGGAATAAAAACATGACAGTCCTATTTTGGAATTTTCAAACTGTTTTAGTTCCATTTCGGGAACTTTCCCTTCTTGTTTTGATTTCAGTATCACACGTAAGTCTCTTTTGATCAGGGGTGTAGAGTGGGGGGCTAGAGGGGGCCTCGGCCTCCCAAGAAAAAAATTGTGATGTATATACATACGATAAATATTTATAGGTAGTAAAAAAATATAGTGAAATTTTAAGCTTTGGCCCCCAACATAAATTCTTTTAGCCCCGAGCCCCTAACCTGCCATTTCTGGCTCCGCCGCCTCTTTTGATAGAGGGAGTTCTACACATTGCCTTACTTCACTGAAACTTGTTACATTCATATGAGTCTCTGTTAATACTGATCTAACAAAAATGAATTCAACAAATTTTAATTAATAATGAAAGAGTTAAAAATTAAGAGTTCATTTTAAAGTAAATATGATTATATGAAATCCTATAATTTCAGTAAATTTCTAGTGAAGGTGAAATAGCTCCTTTCATTTTGTATCCAGTTTGTTGAGTCTAAACACATACTTCAGGGAAGAAAAAACATGTGGTTGACAACATAATGTGATTCTCTTATATTCTCTTTTATTTATTTTTAAATTTCTAGTGAAGGTGAATAAATAGCTCCTTTCATTTTGTATCCAGTTTGTTGAGTCTAAACGCATACTTCAGGGAAGAAAAAACACGTGGTTGACAACATAATGTGATTCTCTTACTCTTTTATTTATTTTTAACCCCATACACAATATTTTCCATTTTTTTTAAACTCTGATGTCATATGTTGATTAATATTGGCCGACCCTAAACTCTTTTGGGACTAAGGTTTGGAATGTTGTTGTATAAATACCTTAGAAAATGCATGTGCTGCCTTGCTTTAATATGTGTTGTACTTTTTAATTGATGATGCCATGATGGTCTCCATATAATTTGGTACTTCATCCCATTTGATAGGTCCAATATGATTCTTGCACAGATATTAATGCAACAAATGATATTTGGTTGATTTTCTGATACCTAACATAGGATTTGGTTCTAAAATGATAAGGGACCAAATCGAGGATAGAGTATGTAGCAGTTTTAGTTTGATAAAGAAAGTTTATTGAATATTAATGAATCCATATACAATCAGTAGTATTTTGTTCACTTATATAGCTGAACTTTAGCCAAACTAACTCAACTAGCTAACTGATATTGGCGTCAAAGGCTTCTAACTGACATCCTTTTTCAGTTTAGCTATTATCCTTTATAGTTTTCCCATTTTAACCTAAATAGATGAGTAACTTTTATGAGTAGATTAACATGTGAAATCACAAACAGCAAGTTAGAAAAAGTAGAGAGCTAGTGGGATCGGAGAACATGAAAGTATACAAAATTGTGGGACAAACTAAAAACGGAAGTAGGACTTATAAAAAAGGAATGGAGTAAAATATGCAGTTTCTCTCTCTCTCTCTCATGAAAAACTTACCAATAATATACTATAAAATGTTTTAAGTTATGACATGGCAACAGTTCCCGTGATAATATATTGATTTGCAACTATATTTTACTCACCACAGGTACCTTACGTAGGCAGAGTAGTGGAGTTGATGTTGCATCAAAGTATGTGGCATTGCCCTGCTCTTGGGGAGTGTAGATATGGACTTCTTTCATTTTGTTTTCCTTTTCTATGCATATCCTGATTTCTCCTTCTGCTTGCAATGTCTGCAGAGGAATAGATAGTGCCTCAAGTCCTCCAATGTTACGAAGGAATGCCTCTTCCTCATCAAATATGAACAATCTAGCATCATACTCCACCACATCAAATCCAGGTTCTTAATATTGAAGTGCATCGTTGCACAGTTTAATTCAAAATAGAATGAAATTTCACTCACTCAGATCCTCTTCATTGTAATTCAATATAGAATGATTTTTTTCAGCGAGCTCCTTCATTCCCTTCTGTTCGCGCATTCTCTTTCAAATAAAATTCTTTTGATATTTCTTTTTGTTTTTAATTTTGAGGTATATATTTGCACAGGCTCTCTAATGCGTACCACCAGCTTTTCTATTGATGAGAAGCTTTTTGTACAGGCACTTTATAAGGTAGTACATATGCACTATTACAAATACTACGTATATGTTACTTTGTTTCTGTTCGGAAATAAGTATCTTACTTTGTCAGGTTTTGGTTAAAGTGTCAAGAACAAGTCCTATTGTTTTGTATCTTAGGGATGCTGAAAAGCTCCTCTGCAGATCAGAAAAAGCATATGTCTTAATTCAGAAAATGTTGAGGAGATTGTCTGGATCAGTGTTGATCCTGGGTTCAAGAATTGTGGACTCTGGTGATGACTATAGAGAACTAGATGAAAGGCTATCTTCTGTATTTCATTATAGCATTGAGATCAAACCACCAGAAGAAGAAACCCATCTTGTGAGCTGGAGATCTCAGCTAGAGGAGGACATGAAGATGATACAGTATCAGGACAACAAAAACCACATAATGGAAGTACTGGCTGCTAATGATATTGAATGTGATGATCTTGGTTCTATTTGCATAGGGGACACTATAGCGCTCAGTGACTATATTGAAGAAGTTGTGGTATCAGCAATATCATACCATCTGATGAGAACCAATGATGCGGTGTACAGAAATGGAAAGCTTGTTATTTCATCAACAAGGTCTTAACTTCTATTCATATAACCCACATCACCTTCTTCCTTTCATCGTGCTGCTCACTTGTAATCTTCTTTCCTGAACTGTACTGACGTAATGCCTTTGTGTAACTAAACAGCTTATCACGTGGCATGAACATATTCAACGAAGGAAACTCCGCTGGAAGGGATACATTAAATCTTGAAACAAAACCTGAACCAACCAAGGTGAATTTTTGCTTACGCCCTCCTCCCCAGAGTAAAAGCTCACCTTGACTGAGGACGGAGAGTCGGAAATTAGGAAAATGAAAACCGTGCGAGTGTTGTATAGTTAGAGAAATGTTATGAAACACAGTGTTTTCTTTAAAAGGAAATGAGAAATAATTTGGGGATGTAGAGAAAAAGAAAGTGGGAAATTTACATAGGTGCAGAAGGAAGATCATATACATACAAATGTGGGATGTAAAAATTAGGGAACTAACTTTCATTATCACTTTGAATAGGATTCACGTAATGGAGAAGAAGGCAGTAGAAGACCAGAACCAAAAAGAGAAATTTTAAAAGCACCTGAAAACAAGAGTCTAACAGCATCTGCAGCTCCAGTTGCCCCCATTACAAAGGAAGTCACCACTTTGGGCACTGTTACAAAAGCTAATGTAAGTGGTGCTCATGGTTTAGGTTGTTTCACTGTTTTTCATTTCCTTAATAAAGCTTGAGATATCCCCTTGCTTGTTGGGTTGTATTAGGATGTTCCTCCTGACAATGAATTTGAGAAGCGCATAAGGCCTGAGGTCATACCAGCTAAAGAGATTGGTGTAACGTTTGCTGACATTGGAGCTTTAGATGAGATCAAAGAGTCTCTTCAGGAGTTGGTGATGCTTCCTTTACAAAGACCAGACCTGTTCAAAGGTGGTCTCTTAAAACCATGCAGAGGTATTCTGCTTTTTGGCCCACCAGGCACGGGGAAGACTATGCTTGCCAAAGCCATCACTAAGGAAGCTGGTGCAAGTTTCATCAATGTGTCTATGTCAACTATTACATCTAAGTGGTTTGGTGAAGATGAGAAAAATGTGCGCGCGTTGTTCTCTCTAGCTTCCAAGGTTTCTCCAACTATTATATTTGTGGATGAAGTTGATAGTATGCTTGGGCAGCGCTCCAGAGCTGGGGAGCATGAAGCCATGAGGAAAATAAAGAATGAGTTCATGGCCCATTGGGATGGCTTACTAACAAAATCATGTGAAGGAATTCTTGTTCTGGCAGCTACAAACAGACCATTTGACCTTGATGAAGCAATTATCAGGCGTTTTGAGAGAAGGTACGTGTAGCACTTCCTGTTCTCATCGTTTTTAACTTGGTTAGCTTTAATAGAAAAATAGAATCAATGGTGCTCCAAGTCTTGCATGAACAAAGCTTTTCCTGTTTTGCCTTTTAGACTCCAAGTTATTAACACCGATCGCAATTATGCTCAAGTAATTAACACTAAATTATATAACATGAAAATACTCTTGAAGATTTTGTATTACTATATATTTTTGAAATAATACTGCACTGTAGACGAAATATATTAATGTAAATAATAATGGTCAAATATTGACATTGAAGACCGCAAAATTCAAATTAGGAGTTTAAATAGAGATGGGTGTAGTATATATGTATATATAGCATTCACTTCTTCAATTAGTTGATCTAAGTGTTCTAGTACGGAGTAATTATTATGGTTTCTGCAAATACAGAATTATGGTAGGCCTACCTTCAGTAGAACAGAGGGAAAAGATCTTGAGGACACTGCTTGCAAAGGAGATGGTAGATGAAGGATTGGACTTAAAGCAGCTTGCTTCATTGACTGAAGGCTACAGTGGCAGTGATCTGAAGGTTTATAGTTTAGTTTTTTTAATATGTAGATGTATACAAGCATGTTTTTATAGCTGAAATATTTTGGAATGCCCCCAAACAGAACTTGTGCACTACTGCTGCATATCGGCCTGTTAGAGAGTTGATAAAACAAGAAAGGCTTAAAGATATAGTGAGTGCATTACTGCATTCTCATTTATTAGCACTATTATAACTAATGTAATCGTTATAGTCAGTTTTCATACTTCTGTGATTCACATAATTACCATAATTTGCAGGAAAAGAAGCGCCTAGCCGAGGATGATAAAAACACAGATAGCCCAGCAACATATGACGATGTAGAAGAAAGGGTCATCACTATAAGGCTTTTGAATATGGATGATCTTAGGGAGGCAAAAAATCAGGTAGTGATCTTATTTGACTTCTTTGTAGATTGAATTTATAACCGACCGATTGCCTCAAAGTTTTGGAACTGGCACATGCAGGTTGCAGCTAGCTTTTCAGCTGAAGGATCTATAATGAATGAACTGAAGCATTGGAATGAATTATATGGTGAGGGAGGTTCCAGGAAGAAGGAACAACTCACATACTTCTTGTAGAAATGTTCATTTCGATGTTATACATGAAGTAGGGGCACATCTCCCAGGCCCATACGTAGAACTTGACATCAAACATGCGCACAAAAAATTGCACAACTAGCACACAATACAATTACGTAATGAAAAAAACTATACAAGGGGTTCACCCAAATAATGAATCTCAGATATTACAAATTGTGTTAATTTCGTGTGACTTTTGTGTGTGCAAGTACAACTCAATACTAGTAAAAGTTAGCGGAACTAGTTTTTTTCAAGTGCAATAGGAAGTTGTCTTCGGTTTAGGGTTCTCAAGTAGTGCTTTAAAAAGACTTTCGGACTATATGTAGTTGTGAAAGAAAATAATCATCTTGTAGGTGTACTATGTTTACTGAATTTTATCATTATAGTGCAAATGTTCTATGATTATCATGATATCCCTCAGTTACTGTAGTAGTAAGATTTGTTTTCAAGCTTTAAAAACAAATCCATCTAGACCATGTCCGACGCTCTGAATTTGTTAAGATGTGCAAATTTGCTAAGATGGGTAAATATCCGAACTTGGTGATGGGGGTGGACTCGGGCCGGTTCGGGGCCGGTTCGGGCCTGGGCCCGGCCGGGCCTCAGTTCATGAATGGGGAGGCCCGGAACCGGCCCGGGTAACCCCCGGGTCTGGTTCGGGCCGGGCCGGGCCTCGGTTCAACTTTTTTTTTGGCTTTTCCTAATTAACCCCCAACCCTCCCCCCTCACCCCCAAACCACCTCAAATGGCCCAAAATACCCAGCCCAACCCAAAAACTTAAAAAAATTCAAAAAAAGGAAAAAAAAATAGGTCCGGACCGGGGCCGGTTCACCTTTTCAAGGGCCCGAGTCCGGCCCGGAACCCCAGCGGGTCGGGCCTATCCGGACCGGTCCCTGGCCAGGCCGGCGGTTCGCACCGGTTCAAACAGTGACCGGGCCGGGCCTCCCGGCCCGAGTCCACCCCTAGGTGATGGGGGCACTTCATGCACCACTTTTGCGTTGCTTTCTAGGGTGAAATGGTACAATTGTGTTGACTCTTGAGCGAAAATGGGGAATATTTTTCCCTTTTTGAGTATATGTAATTGTTGTGATACTGACCCCGACCTATTACTATTCCAGAGACCCAATATATTAGCCTGGTTGTAGCCCACTTTTGATGCCCGTGAGACCCATTAGGGTAGGATTGTACCCAAAAAATGCATCACATACATTTATATATACATTCATTTCATTCATCTATTCCATATCATTCAACATATTCAACTATTCAAGCATGAGCCTCTAAAAGCTCCTCCATAGCAAAGAGGATTACATAGGAGCAGAGCCGTGCGGGGCATGAGGCAGATGAGGCACTTGCCTCAGGGTCCAAAAAATTGTCAAAATTTTAGGGCCCACAATTTCAGATATTTCTTTAGTATATATATATATATATATATATATATATATATATATATATATTAAATTTACATATTGGGCTTCCTTTGCCTAACCTTTGTCCGTTGTTGTACTTCAAAATGGAAATGGGAAAGTTCCTGAAATAGAACTAAAACAGTTTGAAAATTTCAAAATAGGGTTGTCATGTTTTTTTCCCCAAAATATGAGTAATTACTGACATGTTTGAAGTCTGGTACTGCCAAAACATGGCAGTAACTAGTCTTATTTTGGGAATAAAAAACATGACAGTTCTATTTTGAAATTTTCAAACTTTGTTAGTCTTATTTCCAGTAATATTCCAAAGGAAAACCCAAAAAGTCCCCAATTATTTTTGTTCGTCCAATTTAGAAGCGGAATAGCCATCAACGCTCAAATGGAAAAATAAGGGGTTTAAGGCGATTTGCGATTCTTTCGTTCTGGCCTAGACTAATCGATCAACAACAACGTTAATCTTTCATCTTCTTTGCTTAGCTTCTAAATTTCTAATATTTTTCTATTTAAAGCCTTAAAAGGATTTATAGCTACCAAAATACAAATATATTTGTTGAGAATAAATTTATTGAACATCTGGATTATGCCGAATTAATTAATACTTTTGCAGCTAAAACTCTCCGTCGAGTTGTACTTAATTTGTTATTTGAATACTTTGACATTAATGCGATTTTTATTTAATTAGTCGTTTTTATGATGTTTAATATTCAATTTCAAAGAAAAATATAGTAAAAATAAATAAATAATGTATAGGGCCTTTTATGAAGTTCGACTCAGGCCCGAGTTTTGGTAGGATCGGCACTGCATAGGAGTCCGCTGCAACACAAGCCGGTTTCTTTTTCCTCGCATGCTGCAGTCAAGAGGGAGAGCCTCTCAGTAGATCGCTCCACCCCGAGGGGAAACACTAATTAAACAACACTACTCAAAGATATACATTCAAGGAAGACAAGAGAAGAACATGAGCGAGATTATAATTTTTCGAGCAGGTTCACGTGGCCACTACTTGTGTTGGGATATTGGACTCCAACTTATTACTCTCTCCGTCTCATTTATATTGTCCCAGTTCCTATTTACTTGGTCAATACAAATCACTCTTAATTTCTTACTTTATATATAAAAAATTTATCAAATTTGATTCAGGTTTTTGCGACTTTGTAAAGCTTTAAATGTAGTTTCTGAATATGTAATTTTTTTCCTAAAAATAATTTGAGTGCGGACAGGGATCTGTTTGCTTTATCGTCGGTCAAACATCGTAAACCGTAAAGAGATAATATAAATGGGACGAAGTTAGTACTATTTTGGAGGCCTGATATAATAGTCCACTCATGGGCGGAGCTAGGGGTGGGCCAACCTAAGCCATGTTCCACCACAAATTTTAAAAATGGCTTATTTTTTAAGGTAAAAAATTTCGTGTTAAATTTTTTCTAAAAATATTCTTTGTGTCGGCCCAGTCCGACCCAGTGCCCTGGCTCCGCTCCTGAGTCCACTTGTGAGGTCCGTTCGGCCTATTAGCGTAGGATCGTACCCCCCCCCCCCCCCCATATTAATAGGAGGACTTCCCTTGATGTTAGGGGCCACTTTGCTCCCCCTCCACTAGTCTTCTTGTCCATTTTGCTTGATGTTGTTCCCAACTCCATTAATGGCTGCTCAAACCTTATTCTTGTAAAATGTAATAATGTGAGGAATACCAATAAGAAGAAAGTGGTTTGAACATTAGCTCGAAAAGTCTCATGATTTTCACCTAATTGGGTTTCCACGTTATAATTGAGTGTTCATACTATTTATTTATATTTATACACTTAAATTCATGTTGAATTAGTTTCAACAATAATTTTAGAGGACTTCGCTTACAAATTGTTGTAAATAGTTGGTGATACCATTATAGAAATTGCATGCCCAAGTATCATATAAGCTCGGCTCAACCTTAGATATTTTTAACTGGACTAGTTTGAGTTCTAGACTAGATCAGACTAAATTAGATTTCGGCAATTGTAAAGGACACGTAGAATAGACATTTACAAGATCATATGAGATTTAACATCAACATTAGTTATTCTTTACCAAAATGGACGACGACCAACCATCGTCTAGAGAAATTACTACTCCCTCCGTCCCCTTAAGTTTGTCCCGTTTTACCTTTTTGGTCCGTCCCACTAAGTTTGTCACATACCATATTTGGTAACATTTGAGTGGTTAGAATCCATTCTTACTTTATTTACACTTTATCAATTCAATACCAACCACACAATTCCACTTTTTCTTAAAAACCACACCACACCCCTCCGTCCCAAACTTAGGGGGACGGAGGGAGTAACTCTCAAATAGATATAGTCAATTCTCATACCTAAGCTTCCTTTGACTATGACCGATCACTCTCAAATACATATCTAAAATGTTATAATGGTCAATGAGGGTTAATACCCTTTTGGGTATGAAAAATTGTTCGTGTAATTCTACAGCATTATTAGGTGGTAATTTCTGCTTAACTTGTTGTACGGTTCATGGTTTAGTTGTCTTGTCCTTAGAGCTTCCGTTAAATAAAACTCATGATCTTATTGTCTTCCGTTAGTTATCGTGTACTCCGCACTTCTTTTGGTCCGCGTCTTTGTTCTGACAATCAGAAATTGGAAATAGGGCGTCCATTCCACAGCGGACTGCACACAAACGAGGCTTGCCCTTCCGGCTTCAGTGGGACGTCGACGACAGCAGACTCAAGCGGCAACCTAGATTTAGCCGAAACCCACAATACCAGCGTCGACTAAAATCAATCTACGTTGGCGGTGAGTCCTAAATGGTAGCAGACTTAAATCGACCTGCTAGAACTCGGGTTAGTAAGAAAAACACGGCTGCTATCAGTAAATTTAGGCGTTATAGGAGACTCAAGGAAAACGAGTCCCTTCACTCCCAGAATCAGCTGGACAAAGAAAGGAGCAGTCTGGAGAGGTGCGTCGTCAATTGCAGCTACGGCAAAATGCAACTCCAAACTGAAAAAGGCACAATCCAGTAAGGTATCAGCCTATTCTTAAGTCAGATGGGTGTGAAATTTCAATTGAAAGTAAATGCTTTGGATTCCATATAATCAATAGTAATGCACTGAAAAATAGGGCGTCCCCAAAAGACTAAACACGATCTTCCCTATCTTGCTTTTGGTAAGAAGAAGATTGAAGCAATAAAGAATTGGACTGAGACAATTTGAGGTTTTGGAATTACTCACAACTTTACTATGATAAATCAACTTAGATTTGAGTGGTTAAATCTATCCTCCTTATCTGATTTTCTAGCCTGGCACTCACCTTGATCGAAGTGTGAAGAACATCAAATATACTGATTTTGTTAGCAAGAAGCTTATTATGTTTTTGGTGGCTGACCTTTAAAGATCTATTCCATGACAAATGTGTTGAATTGATTCATTCCAAATTTGCTTTGACTTAGTGCCTTGATACTTGTTATTCTTCTTTCGATGTTTTAGTTATTCCAAATTTCGTAGTGGTAGTTATGTAACTGTGTGCCTGTGCCCTAGGTGTTGGGATCATAAATTCATTGCCATGGGAGTGTCAGTATAAATGTCTCGATTATGCCTTTCTGTTTGCTGTAAGTAATTTACCATAATCAAATATGTACCTTCTTTATAACTTTTTATACAAGTCGGTTCTACAATATTCTCTGAGTTCCACTCATGAAATTTGTTAAGAAGTAGGACCTATCTTGTTTTTATCATATTTTAGTTTCATTATATCATTGGCTCATATTAGTTGACATAGGTAGATCATATCCATGTATCTGTATAATTGGGTGTACTGTTGTGTATGATGTAGTTATGTGATGTTAGTTTATGCAATATATTCTTCTAAGCTTTAAATGCAAGATACTTGTGACTTTGATAAGGAATAAATGACAGTCCTAGAAAAAGATATTCTTTTGATAATTGTTGATAGTGTTCCAGCTTTGGACACCCCACAAAGACAAAACTGTAATGGAAAC